AGAATTTCAGCACATTAGTCAATGAACACAATTACAGGAAAAGAAGAGAATACTGTACGACACAACTTGCTTAAGACACAATCTGAAGACAGGAACTTCAACCCTAAGCTGGCAGTGAGAACACAGCTTTAGTGTTTACGGAGTAAACTTGTCATGAGATTGTACTGGAAAAAAAAACAGAGCTTATGAGCTGTTTGGGTACTTGTGGGCAGTTTGTATGTGATAAAATTCCCTTCTGTCATAACATCTTGAGAAGCCTCCAGCTGTGTACCCGCAGCTATCTGCTTCTGTAAGAAATTCCATGTGGGCAAAGCTGGCTTTGGGGGATAGAGACTAAACTAAGTTTGTCCTACTGCTGGTTCAGCAACAGACTCCACTGCTGTACTTTATGCAGTGGGCATGTATATGTGAGCCTGAGAAACAAAAATGCTCTCCTTATATTATCCTCATATCTGAAATTGGTCAAAATTTTGTCAGCGGGCACCAAAAACTACTGTTTGTCTCAGTTTTAATCTGCTCGTGTTCCTTATGCATTCGATTGTAACAGCATTTACAGCCTTCAACCGGTACTCCTCGTTTTGCCGAGGCTGTAGAGAGAAAGGTGTAATTCCAACCCTATAAAGGTACAGACAAAGTTATATTGCAATGGAATATTGTCAAACATAACTGAGACAGAGCAGCTAAAGCAAGGATGGCTCCTTGACTGAAATGTGGAAATCAGTGAAGGGCACTCCAAACATCTTGCAATCTCAAATGCCAACGTTAATGAAAGCATTTCTGTTGAATCCATTTAACATTGTATTGCACACACAGATGTTGTCAGTTACTCTATTCCATGTGAGAATTTGAGATGGTCTGTTATGCCTCCATTACCATTTAGCTCTACTTTGATTATTCACAAATGTATTCTCAATATCCAAATTCTTTAAATTTGAGATGTATAAGCAACCCTGAAGGAGGGGTTTAGTTGCAACAGAAATCTTACAACTTAAACTCAGTATTATTTCTTTGGTATCCCCTTCTCCCCCTTTTTTTGTGTCTTGTAGCTTTGCCACAGGCTGAGATATGAATAACTCAACTGATTACTGGACCGGGGATGAGGAGGATGATCTCAACCATGTTATAGATTACACTTCATATGAACTTCTCTGTGAAAAAAGCGATGTGAGAAATTTCACCAAATTATTCCTTCCTGCGTTCTATGCACTGGCTTTCACCGTGGGAGTCGCTGGAAATTCATTAGTGGTTGCAGTTTACGCCTATTGCAAGAAACCGAAGACTAAGACAGATGTGTACATCATGCATCTTGCCATTGCCGATTTGCTCCTGCTCTTCACCCTCCCTTTTTGGGCTGCAAATGCAGTGCAGGGATGGGAACTTGGAAACTCACTGTGCAAGCTCGCTTCTTCTCTGTACACCATGAATTTCAGCTCCAGCATGCTGTTCCTGGCCTGTATCAGTGTTGATAGATACAGGGCCACTTCTGAATCCCGGGGCCATAGAAGAATTGGCAAACACTGTAGTGTTACCTGCATCTGTGTCTGGCTGTCTGCCATTTTCCTCAGTATCCCTGAACTAGTATTTAATCAAGTCAAGAAACACAATGACAGGAATGAATGCCTTCCTGTATTTCCAATGAACATGGAAACACTCTTAAAATCAACCATTCAAATCCTGGAAATTATCCTGGAATTTCTGCTTCCTTTCCTAGTAATGCTGATCTGCTATTCCGCTACTGCTCGGGCAATCTTTAGATCTGCAAATGTTAAAAAGTCTAGACCTTTCATGGTTCTGCTGGCAGTAGTGGCTACTTTCATAATCACTCAGCTACCTTACAACATTGTGAAGTTCTGGCGAGCCATAGATATCATCTATATGTTGATTACTGACTGCGATGCAAGTAAAACCATAGATGTTGCAACCCAGGTCACCAAGAGCATAGCTTTGTTTCACACCTGCCTGAACCCTATTCTCTATGCCTTTCTGGGTGCTTCTTTCAAAATGCATATTATGAAAATTGCAAAAAATTATGGGTACTGGAGAAGACAACAGCAGAATGGAAGACCTGAAGAAATTTCTATGAATTATGACGAGCAGACAGAAGAAACAATTAGTTTCACTATATAGACTCTCCATTACTTTCATCATCTTATATAACCAAGGGAATTATTCACTAATTCTAGGGGGGTATTGTTTCAGCAGCTGTTTCTCTGCAGGTCAACTTTCAGATGAATTTTTGAACCTGTACACTAGCCAATACACTACAGAGCAGTTCAAAGTGGAACATGTTTATCAGAATTAAACATCATGCAAGAACTAGATACTGAAATTCTGAGAAACAATAGAGATATTTACTAAACAACAACAAAAACTCAAACAAACCCCACTACAACACAACCCAAACACCTAAAAAAGCCAAGATTGAAATTTTAACGTGTACTAAGCAATTAAATAGCTGTGTAATGAACAATCTGTACAAGTCTAAACATCTAATTAAAACAGAGAAAGAAACCATCATCAATAAAACAGCAGTACAGGAACTTTTGCACCAAAAGTTAATACTCTTGTGTTTCTCCAACTATTCTGTAAAACTTTAGAACATCTGCCTAATAACTGAGTTCCATTTTTCAACTCAGCTATCATTCCATATCATTCCTTGCAGCTTGTAAGTTTGTGGCTGAGAGTTGAGAGGGACAGGGGGGGAGAAAAAGCCATTCTCTATGTGTTTCCACATATGTATAGCAACAACAACAGCCTCCAGAAAAAGCAGCAAGTCCATCTCCATAACTACGGAAAAATGACTTTTCACCTCTCCTTTTCTGCTTACCCTAAACTTCAACAAGGCCAGTGCTCTATGGGAGGCAGGTTCTAGAGCTCTATAAATGTAAGAAAAAGTTAAGTTAATCTCCAGATACAAGGCTTGGAATTTCTATTCAGAATTTTTAAAATTCATCAAGCACTGCAATAACTGTATCTGCTAAAATATATGGAGACTCAATAAAGTCAAAGAACGAAAAAATGCACTGGCTTTTGTTTATTCATACTCTGTGTTTGTTTTGTTTTGTTTTAGTAGGTACTGACATCTCTCATCATCATAGGCATTTACCAACCAGCAAAGTGTAGAGGCCTTCCTTGACAAATCAGAGAGGCTCTGTCTCTATACGGAGCTCACAGATTTACAGTTTTTAGACAGAGAGGTACCAAAGCTGTCTCCTGCCACAGCATTGGCAGGGATTCCAGGAAAACAGCAGTTTTCTGTGAGTCACTGGAAGCATTTCAAGTATGCTGACATATTAGCTTAGCTTTCAAAATGAAAATGGGGTGTTACAGCATATTGTCCTTGTCTTCAAACATCCTGTGGGCTCCGACAAAATGCCTGATCTACGCCTTATGAAAGCCAACAAGAATCATTTTTAGACACTGTTCCCAGTTACACAACTATGGACTGGAAGAAAAAGCTCCTAAATGACAGACAACAGGAGCACAAACAAGACATGAGCCGCTTCTCCCCGTTTGGATGACAAAAGCTCGCAGAATTTCTGCCCATCGTTTTGAGAAATACTAGGGCGTGAACGAGTAAGTCAGAAGTGCTTGACAGAAGGTCTACAAATACACCATAAATCTGACATATTTAAGCCATACTGGATTTACAGTACACAAGCAGAACACCCATGCAGAGTATGGAAAGAAATTCCAGTTCTTCCACAAAGTAACTGTATCCTTACATGTGTGATTTACGGCTTGTCTTCACAAATACAGAGTGGCTGCTCACAGAGTGACATTCTGACCAGGCTGTCAGGCTTCTGGAATTCCCAAATATCCAATGTCCTAATGTTCCACTCAGAGTAAAAAGGAAAAAAAAACCAACCAAAACCAAAAGAACCCAAACAAAACAAAAATCTCAAAAACAAACAAAAAAATCCCAACCAGGCAGAAAGGGAGATTCTGACTAAGACAAAGTTGAATGAACGTTGTTTCTCAAACTTCTTGAAATTGCAGAGCCTTTTATGTCTCTGTCTTTATGCAAATCTGACTGTGCTAATTGTTTTTACTAGAATTAAAACAAACCAAATCATGCTTACTTTATGTTAACTCTCCCTTTTATAATTCACATATCTAATTTTATGAATATTATTTTGCATGTATGACCTCCTACAAACTTTCCCATTACTTCCTCGGGGACTGCAATGCACAGCTGGGAGACACTGACCCAAAGCAAAGGTAGCATCCAGCAGCTAAGTGACACTCTTGGGTCAGGGGACAAGATACCATGCCTCCTGTTTTACGGGAGAAGAAAAGAGAGAGAGATCTATCTTCTGGTGAGTCTCAGTATTGCACAAGCATGTATCAGTAGGTAGCTGACACACTCCTGTACGTGAATGAAACATTCAAGTTTAACAACTCGGCTTATGTACTTGGCTTCCAAACTCCAAAATGATGACTTTCAAGTTGCTGTCACACATGTTTTGGCAAAAATGTAACAGTACAATATCAGGGACATTTACCACTTATAGTACAATCCATTGATTTTACTGGAAATTATCATATAAGAAAATCTCCTGAAATACTCAGCCCAAGAGCATCACAGGCTACTTTAAAAAACAGCCACATTTTACTGTAACTACACAATATACTCAAACCTCACACCCAAACTGCTGAAGACAGCTTCATAAAAACAAAGTTTAAAGGGTATGGCCATAAATGTGTGAGTTACCTGACAGAAAAAGGTAACGCGTAGAGAACAATAGTGGCATACATTCTGTGAACAAAATTCAGAGGTTCCAAAAAGCATCCAAACCTCCAAATTGAATTAGAGTCTTGGACTTTGATTCATAGAACAAAAGCTCAATTCAGCTCTTTCTGTTGTTTTAAATTCTATTGCCTTTACTCGAGAAAAGACAAATTTCCATCTCATAAACGAAGCATAAATATTTTTGTTTTAACAGTTCTTAGAAAAAAATTTAGGCTTAGCCATTCTTATTTAGGGTTTCCACACTTACCACTGCTCCACCACTTCTTGCCATTGATCACATAACTGTTTCCGTCTCGCTCAATGCTGCATTGCATATTGGTGGCATCACTTGAAGCCACATCAGGTTCTGTGTCAAAGGAAAAAACAAAAACAAACCACTGGGTTAAATGAAGAGGTAGTACTACCTCCACAAATATAGGGCTGTAGATATACTCTAACAGTAACACGGTTTCGCTCCCAGTAGAAAAGTTGTTTTCAGAACCTCACTGCTGGTGGCCAAAAGACTTTCTATTTTCCAACAACCTGTTATTCATAGCCAGTTTAAATGTACTTGTTCTTGGGCTCAGATTATCCATTACGATCAACAGCCTTCTTCCTTTCCTGATCTTCTCAAATCTTTTATCCTTCCAATGTATTTAGAGAAAACAGTCATGTCTCTCCTCAGCCTTTTTCTTCCCCTGGGTTCTTGTCAAGAGAAAATGAAAAGATTGAAACTAATTCAATCTATTTCACTACGTGAAATAGACTATACAAAGCTGTCAGCAAAATGTCATCAATGATTATTTGGAACAGGAAAGATTATTCCTCTCTCCTTTCACCATTACTTTTTTTTTAATAGGCAAAAGCTTTTGCTTTAAAGTAAAAGCATCTCTTTCCTCTTGGGGAACACAGAATTTACAAAATAAGGGTCCAGCTCTGCAAGGCTGAGTTCTCTTGACTCCTTCTGATGTAGGAAGATCAAGATTTTGACATCAGATGTTCCAAAAGCTACCTTCCTACAGCAAGAGCCAGACTTTCCAAAGATGTTGAATGCCACAAGCTTTCAAGAGCAAAAATGATTACAATGCTGAGCTATGGACATAAGGCAAGTTACCTCCAAGTTCTATCTTAAAACCTCTACCTATGACATACTGCAAAACTACACAACTTTAATCACAGTAATCATACTTGTACCTAATTGTATGTTTCTAAAGAACCTCAAAGCATATTATAAAAAAGGGTGAGCTCTATTGTAAATCTGTTTGGTACTATAAAATGTATTTTACTAGTACTAAAAATAAATTGAAGATATATAGAAAACAAATAGTATTGTAACCATAAAAAAGGTAACTACTGGGGAAGGGCAGCAAGGGTGCTTCACTCTGCATTCACACCTCATAGATTTTATATTCAAATACATTCACAGATACAATGGAAATTTTTGTATTAATTTATTAACACACAACTTGAAGTTTTCTACTTTTTGCATATACCATTTAAAGTTTCTGCCAATTGCCTCTAACTTTCTTCTGGAGAAAAATTTACCTGTCATGCAGAAGCAAGAACTAATCTTCCCTTCTAGGAGAGGCTCCAGCCACTCTTTCTTTTGTTCTTCAGTCCCATACATGTGGAGGACCTCCATGTTTCCAGTGTCTGTAAGAAATCAGAAGTCATGTTTACTTCTCAAGACACACAACTCATAAGGTGCAAGATGACCAACTTTTAAATGCTCTCAGTGCTGTAGTTATGGGACAGGGCTGCTAACCTGGTGCATGACAGTTAAAAACCTCAGGAGCAATGAGGCATTTCCCTGTCTCCTCAGCTATTAGGGCGTAGTCAAGCTGGCTGAGACCACTGACATCTGGAAGAAAAAGGTTCCACAGACCTTCTGCTTTTGCCATTTCCTGTTGCAAGGATCAAGAGAGAAAAATACCATATAATAATACCAAAAATACAAAAAAATCTAAAAAAACAGAAAAATAAATTCTGGCTTGCTAGACACTTCCTTCCTGCTGTCTAATATATCTCACGACTTTTTTCAATAGCTATTTTGAAATAATAGGTACAATCTTTGATTGAAAATTCAGACACACCCCTCACAGAACTCACTTTGTTTTACTCCCCTCTCATTTCTCTCACCTTTTGCACACTTCTCTCTTCCTTTCTTTTCACTATTCCTCACACTGTTTCTTTCCATGCAGAGTAACTTCTCCAGCATGATATGCCAAACACTCTCCTGCTCTATGTCTGTGCTCTTTTACTGCTAGAATGTTAAGAATATTTACTATCCCATACCTTCAGTTTCTCAAGCAGTGGTGGTTTCTTCCATTTTTCCTCAGTATTTCCATGTTCGGTATAGTATTTTATTATTTCCTTAGAGAAACAATTAAAAAGATGCTGTTTAAATTAAGAACACATGTAACACAGAAATAATAATATGATGTCTCTTCCAGCCCTGTGCACCAAGAAACCAATTAAAGAAATATTCAACATAGGTTTTCATTGTATAGTGAGTTGTATTATAAAATTAAACATATAACTGAAGACCAAACTGCAACCTATTCATTTTGCAAGACTTGAAATGCATCACAAAGATGACCCCAATCAGTACCTTATTTCATACAATTATTTGGGTTCGTTTAAAGTATATGGTGATGATGCTAGAGGTCAGTATTTTCTGATGATAAAAGTACCTGTTACCAACAGTACACACAAGAGGCATGAAACCAAAAGTAAAAGCACAAATGAACGCCTGATTCAGGTTTCCTGTCACAACATTCAAATATATAAGCCAGTTTATCTTTTGGTAACAGAGAAAAACCCCACAAAGAATACATTTTCTCTTCCTGTCAAAATAATTCCTTAACAGATTACGTCAGCAGTCATTCTGAGCACCAGTGATTATTAGTAAAACTATATATTCAGTAATCTTAGTATTTCCACAAGTATGTTTTAGTGAGGTACAGCACTTCAAACCTCACCCAGAACTAGTTAAAAGACTGAATAAAAGTAGTTCCCTCTTCTGAAAATGACACAATAAGACAAATGCCCAAGTAAAATTCAGAAGTCCTGATTCACAATTCCTGTTATCAGAAATAACTTACAAGCACAACACTACTCATCTGCAAAACTTTGTGGTCCATTTATTTTTAAAGCAAGTACTTTGATCATTGCAAGGCTTCCTTGGACAGTCCTAAACTACAATCCAAAACCAGTCACAGACAGACTTTTAAGAAACTTTGTGTATCAAGAGTTATTGCCCTTAACCCCTCCTCATGATAGGCAGATGCATTCATAAATCTTTTAGATTAATATGTTCTCTGCACTTCTGCCTGATTGCCAAAACCAACCAACCAACCAACCAACCAACAACAAAAAACCCAAAACAGAAAGCCAAAGAAACCAATTCTGCAACAGAATTCATCTGTGCTTCCATAAGGCTAAAAGCTGAACCAACTTTCTACGTGGAAAATTTCTAATCTCTCTAGGATAAGAAGCAAAATGATTCATCTCATTTTCCCTTCCACTGATTATTGACTTCTGTGGGTACTTCATTATCTGATTTCAAATCTTCACTGGTATTAAATATATTCAGGAATGAGGCTACATTGCTACATTACGCGATCCCATTTTTTGTCAGAAAAGTCACAGCTTAAAGAGAAAGCAAGAAACAGAAACAGCTTCATATAGTTAAAAACAGCAATTCCCAGTATTAAATTAGCATCTTTCCATTTATTATGTAAGAGTTCTAGGTTTTTGTTAAAGTATTTTAGCAATTTCCTTTAAAAAGTAACTCTTACTAAAAAGAGAAATTTTTACAGTTCAAAAAATTTAAAAAGTAACTCAGCTTTCATTAACAATGCCTACAACATCTTAATCCTGAAAAAAAAATAGACAATAATGATTTCTGCTAATATTTCTCAATGCCACAAATATCGCTACATGAAAGTAAGGCTGTTTCAGAAAAAAACCAAAACAAGAAGATATGACTTCTATACATAGTTTTACATTTTTTATGAAGTCTAGTCTGAAAACGTTCCCTTATAAATAGGTTAACTAAAAGCTTTTACCTTCTCAGCTGGATAAATGTGCTGCTTCATGAACTGCTTGACCTTCAGCAAAATCTCTTGGCCTTTCCTACTTTGGTGGAAGAGCTCTCCAGAAATGTGCTGTGTGCTGCTGAAAGATGACCTAGGGAAGAACACTCAATGGAATGACAAGTAAGACCAGATTTTCCCTCATAATAACATAAGCTGCCTTACACAGGCATTCAAATAAATGAAGATGTTGTAAAAGCTTTGCCTTACTGTTGACCAGTAGTTTAGATCACTCTTACCTTTTTGAGAGCTCTAACCCTCTCTCTGCCAAAGGCTTCACAACCTTAGCAAATTCATGACTATTCTCTGCAGAAGCATTTCCAATGAGATATCTAGCATATACACCCTAAAACCAAAAGAAAGGCATATATGGTATAATTATGCATTTAAAATTGTCTCTTTAACACATCGGTGATCTCTTCAACTATGAAAGTAACACTTAAATGCACATACTCTTAAAAGGAAAAACTTAGCACCCAGACAATTTTACTGGGATATGCTAATATTAGTTTTGGTCCATCTCTGATATAATGGAGATACTTGCTGTACAAGAGTTAAAAAAATACCCCAGCTAAACCAACCCAAAGGCAAACCCCAAAAAGTCATAGATGAAAACAAAAAAATAAAAAAGAAAAGATAAATGTCTGCACATGATACTGCAAGCAAGCCCAGCCTGTCCGTCAAGCCAACTGACAACAGTATAGATATATGATTATTATCCATGACTAAATTAACTACCCATATACACACGAAAATATGTGACATTTCAGCAAATGTGAGTGTATTACCTGGGCTATTGCTGCCATTTTAAAATATGACAAAGCAAGAAAAAAGTTGAAGTTGGATAAAGTAGTGTTAATACGCCGGCAGCGGCAGTAAATGGAAACCAGCTCTTCAAATGAAGGATTTTCTAAAAAACAATACAATAATTTTTTAGAATACTCAACACTTGCTATGATTTTTTTTCCATCTTATTCTTCAACAGTTTTTCATCTTTATGGGATATTTCATTTCCATAGTAAACACCATGATTTGTAATTTCTCATGGTGTAACTGTAATATGGGAAACAAAAGGAGAAAGGATTTGCCAGAATTTCAAGTAACTGTGACAATTCCTACCACCCCTCACCTCCACTCCAGTCAGGAAATTAATTTCAGCAAGGGGGTAGGATTTTTTTTTTTTAAATAAAAGTTACAGTTACATTTAAATTTCTGTTCTCTTCCACTATCTGTAAGAAAGGTTCAAACTAAACTTTTACCAAAGTAGCATATTGCGGCTAAGACATAGCTTGTTAAAACAGAACTACCTAAAACCTCTCTATCAGCATGCTTCCGACAATGAAGAAAACATGGAAGAGTTATTTTCAAGTGCAAAATTATATGTTTGTAGATTCCTGCTTATAAGGGTAACATTTCAAACAAAAATCAACCGTAGAATTTGTTTCAACAAAAAGATTACATTTTCATACCTATGGTGTCTTTGAAACCCAAGACACCTAAGTCCTTAGTAGATGTAGGCCAAAAGTAGAATTGAGTGGCATATGCTAAATCTGCTAAAGGATGACCAGCAGTTGAAAGTTCCCAGTCCAGCACCGCCAAAACACGAGCCTTAAATAAAAATAAAAACCTCGAGTGAGTGCTAGAAGACAAATCCTCTCCATCCACAAATGCACCAGCCACTTAATATCCATGAGTTTTATTTGGTTACTATATATTTAAAATTAAAAACATGCACTGTAGCTGTCTACAACAAAAAGAGTTCCTTTTGGCCCTATCTAAGGATCTGTAGAAAATTAAAATTCACATAAGGGCAGAAAGCTAGGCATTCTTCCAAAGAAAATCTGATTTAAATCTACATTTTTGAGTAGTGTTCTTCCTTTCAGAAACTTGTAAACTCTTCTAGTCAAAACATGATTGAATTAAAATATCCTAAAGAACAGTAGTACTGACAGTTGCTGTGTTTTTCCTCAGTCTTGTTGCACGGTCCTTTAGCACAGAAACTCACAGACCATGCAACAAACCCCCTAATTTATCACAATATTACGTATAGATTAACACTTACATGGGGAACTGAATTTCTTAAACAGGAAGTCAATCATTGCCCAGACTGTGACACAAGCTTCTGCTGCAAGCATCCTTGCAATGGTGTCTTCAGCTGGGTGTGCTGAGACCCCCCAGTCTGTCATTCTGATAAATTCTTATAATCCAGTTTGTCTGTCAATCTGAACGACTGCTCCAGCCTACTCACGATCCATGGCTACTTGAACTAAGTGCAAAAGTCTTTCCTAAGTGGTCACTCCCGCCTATACAGGAAAAGTTTCTAAAGATTACTTGAAATTACCTATGTACAGCTTGATCAATTCCTTCGACTGCATCAGGAACAGCTGGGACAGTTCCCAAGACTGCCAAATTCTCTGCTCAGGGGGTCAAATCAGCACATTTAAGCCTACAACTAATGTGTCTATCAATTAATCCAGGCACAACAATGGGACCTGTTGCTTTGCTGTGAAGTAGGCATTGCAGAGTCTTGGTCACAAATCCCAGGCATATCTTCTGGTCACAATACAGCAAATAGCATGGAAAAAAATAATGAAAACGCAACTGTGTCGATAGATAGGTAACAGATTTATTTCCAAAACCAGAAAAAAAATCTCTTTCTTTTCCCTTTCAGAGTCTCTGTGATCTATGTGTACTCCATAACCAAGCAGTTTTGGAAGATTTTTCTTTGCTTCCACTAGTATCACGTATCATGCATTCATCCTGTTCCAAAAGCCATTGTTAATTGAAGCCATATCACAGTCAAATGGGCTTTGGATCAGATGTTTATGTAGTTTAATGAAGTGAGACTTGAGTTGCACTGAATTCAACAGGATTTATGCATACACAATGTTTTGTTCCTGGACTTTGAAGTAAGGACTAGAACTAATGAATAAATTGAGTATCTTTCAAGGCCAGGTTGGATGGGGCCCCTGAGCAACCTTGTCTAGTGAAATGTGTCCTTGCCCATGGCCAAGGAACTAGATGATTTTAAGATCCCTTCCAACCCAAACCATTCTATGATTCTATCAATTCTGTCTAGCTCCTGCAATGAAAACCAGGACTGTATTAGGTACCTAAATAATGGTATAGAATATAGAGAAGTATAGAGAAGAGTTAATTTCTCTCCTATTCCTTTCAAAAATGTATCACGCACTAAAATAATCCACGGAAGTGTTCCATTACATGGAAGTGTTTCAAATACCTCTGTTGGATGGAAGATGATGTTATCTATCCTCATGTCCCCATGAATCAGACTTTCTTCATTATCATCAGGTGGCAAGTTGTTTGCTAACCACTCAGCCAGTTTGTTCATGGCAGGAATATCTGTATGAGCAGCTGCATCATACTGTTTTTTCCAAGTTGACACCTAAAGAAATACAAACACTCCAACAGATTTTCCAACTGATTCTCAAGTTTTTAAAGTGCAAAAAAATCTGAAGCATGTGCTTCTGGTTTTTCACTATTATAATGTTACACAAGAATTCAGTAAAACCCAGTACCTCTGCATTTGCAAATGTGAACTATGAGATCAAAAGATGCAATGAGGACTACCTCTAATTTCTATTTCAATCCTATTTACGCAGCCCAAATCTAATATTATTCCAAAAGCAAATTAGTATCATTCCCTGAGCATAGCATTACAGAATCAATTTGAATGTAGCAGTGGCCTTACACGGTGCACAAAATAATTGAACTAAGTGAAGGTGTTTAATAGCTCAAATATGATGGTTACTTTTACAAGTTTTTAATAATTAATAATTTAGCTTGCAAATCAAATAAATATTCAAAGACCTGACAAGACAAGAGAATTTTTTGAAGAGTTTTACCTGTCTTTTGCAGTATCCTGGTCCTCTACCATATCCTTGGAGGCCCAATGACTGTAATTCAAAGGAGTGCAACAGGGCCAAAGTTTCTATCATTGCAATATACAAAGCAGAACGCTCTGCTGGGCCCACTTCAGGCAGTGAGATGTCTCGGAAAATGCGACCCTAAAAACACCATAAATCAGATATTTGGTGGGATGTACACACCAGATGAAAAGAAGTAAAGCTATACATTTAATGACCAAAACTAAATGTAGTCAATCAACACCTCTATGCAAACAAAAATTCCTTCCTCATTTATTTTATTCCTCGCCCAGGGCAAATGAAGGGATTCACAGTAATCTCAGAACGTTAGTATATGGAAGACAATTAAAATAACAGATATATTCAGTAGATGAAAGTCTGAATTAGAGCACTCAATCCAGATATCATGAAGCTTGAAAGTACCAGGAAAAACAATGTTGCTGCATTGCCTCTAACAACTAACTTGCAGAAAAAATATCAATGAAGACCTGAGGGAGATGGGGGGGCACAGACAGGGAGAGGAGGGAAATAGGTGAGTTGCACATGCTAAGGCAAACAATCCAAAGAAATTCACTTGTGTTCTCCTTAAAGGCAGTTTAATATATTTAAAAGATGGGTCTGTTTTTTCCATTTTATCCTTTAATTTTGACCCTGCCAGTAACAGATTGGAAGAGAAAAAACAGATTCCTATCTCCTCTGAGCTCCTCAATTTCACTGTTTTGCATGATGGCTTCAATATATTCACACAGCTAAAGTAGTGAGAGTTTTTTTTTTTTACTAAAAGGTTCTGCATAACAAATCTCAAAATCAGGTTTTGTACCGTGCAATAGTTTATTCAACAGAATAAATATATGGTTGTTTTCCAAATATACAATGTATTTGTTAAAAACAGTGAGTGTTGTCCATCTTAGAATGGATAGACTGCACATTTACATACTTAGAAGTGCAGCAAGGTTTCTTCTTAAGGAATCACTTTCTTGTAGCCAAAACCAGAAAAATTCTCCATCTTTAATATAAGAAATCTGTTTCAAATTTTTCAGAGCTCTTATATTTTATTACTCTTGATTCATGGATTTTGTAGGAAACTTAATCTCCAGAAACTGGCCCACAAACTCTTATATTTCTAATTTCCCAGTTAACCTGATGACAGAGTAGGATGCAATGAAAGGAAAGAGGCCTGAATTCAAATCCTCCTTCAGCAGGAAAAAAAAAATACATGATACAGCATACTTGCACTCAAAAATCACCAAAATCTAACAGAAGCACTATCAACTCAGCTACAGCACCCCCAGATGGGATGGACCACAGACAGAACTATGCTGTATTCTTTCTGAAACTATTCTTTCTGTTTGAACTGAAATCCTGCTTGGTTTTCAAGAAAAGGTGACTGTATGTCAATTCCTATCTTCAGTACTAAACAGGCTGCAGGATGTCCAAAGATTCAGTATAACTTTATCAACTGACTGTTTTCAGTCTGACTTGTGTATGCTTTTCACAGAAGAAATATTGCCTTATTGCAAGACATCCTTCTGAGAACTCAAAACAAGAATAAGAGGTCAAATACTGAGCTGAATATTACAACAAAGTGGGAAATAAGCCTTGGAGAAGCTGAAATCTGTGAGAATCACTGATAGCTAGCATTTCTTAAAATTATCAGAAGATTATTTATGTTCCTATCAGAAAACTTAGTGAGTGCTGGGTAAGGCTCTAACAGAAAGGCAATTTAAAAGCATCTTGTAGTAGGGAGAAGGAAAGAATCTCTCACATTGGAGGACCAACCTGCACATGCTGCATTACATAAAACTCTGTTCCAATGACAGAAACGTCACTGCAATACAACAGGGGCTCAGGCACCGGAAAACCAGCTGAAAATAAGGCTTTCTGCACACGATATTCTCTATCGACCTGAAGACGACACAGAAATTTAGGTTCAATTTTAAAACCTCCCAAACATAAATGAGCACAGTGAATGACAAGGTTTAGTTCACAGAACACTGGAAATGATCCAGCAGTTCACTGCACTTCTGGACACACTCAACAATGTGCTGGACCATCACGTACGGGACTTAGTCACTTGCAATACGAAGTGTTTGGAGCTTGTTGAGGAACGTCACTTACCTTGTGCGCTCTAGGTAAAAGGGGGCCATGGGGCTTCTTCCTGAGCACATAAGCCTGACCACCCTTCTCAAGGTAAAAGGTCGGATTTGACTGGCCCGAGCTACAAAGAGAGAGATTATAATTACAAATTCAAGTACTTACAAATTTGTAAACTTTTAACAGAAATTATGCAAAATGCACTTCAACTTGGCCTGAACAAAATGGCAGGACAGAGCGAAGAGTTCTTCTCAGGAGTTGTTTTGTGTTGCGAGTTTTTTTTTCAAATCTAGTCTTACAAGGAAGCAAGTGATAGCCTACAGAATCAAGTCAGAGGTTCTATTTCTACTTATAGGAAAGATGTCTTCTTTCACTGTGGACAGATCACAGCCAAATTGTTCTCCTGTAGCACTTACCTCTTCTCCATAAAGAGACATAATTAACTTATTCAAGGTACGCAGTAGATACTAACTTCAAAGCTTTCTGATTTGGAGGAATTAAAGAGAGCAGAATTCTCACTAGCTCATAACTGTATTTGTCCTTTGGTGAGCTGTATTTTGAACAATGTAAGCACAAAGAAAGCTTCCCAAATTGGAGGGGAACTTTTTACAAGAGCATGTAGTGACAGGACAATGGGGAATGGATTCAAACTGAAAGAGAGTAGGTTTAGATTAGATATTAGAAAAAAAGTCTTTACTGTGAGAGTGGCGAGGAACTGGAATGGGTTGCCCAGAGAAATTGCGGATGCCCCATCCCTGGAAGTGTTCAAGGCGGGGCTAGATGGGGCTCTGAACAACTTGGTCTAGAGAAAGGTGTCCCTGCCTGGGGCAAGGAGTTGGAAATAGATGATCTTTAAGGTCCCTTCCGACCCAAACCATTCTATGATTCTACTCTATGATTAAATTACTGATTATTATAGTACAAAGCTCCACTGTATGCCAGCCTGATCATGATGTCCATATGCTATGCTTAAGGGACAGCCTATAGGAAAATTTTAAAGAGTGAATGTTGAAGTGACAAAGAAAATAAGACATTTCAATCACATACATGTGTAAAAGAAAAGGGCAACCTAGTTAGACCCTTCATAATGCCTTTTCCATCATTTTCCAACCAAGATCATTGACCCTTATTTTCCTCAAGGCTCTGTGCTCATTCTGGATAATTTTTAAAATGCATTCTGACTTAGTCCAATAAAAGATTGGACAACTAATGGAAAATAAAAATCAAGTGAACTTTTGCCCTCATGCCTCCCATTACATTTCCATTCTCCCTGAAGCAGTTAGGGCATAGTTTGTAACACTGACAAATGCTCTGCCTAGCACAAAAGAAATTACACCAGCTGAAGCCTTGAACTGCAACTACAAGACAAGCAAACTAGTAAAAGCATAAATACTGATGGTATTTTAGCAGATTTTACTATTAGCTACTCTCCTAAGGTCCTTCCTAAAGTCTCCTCAATCGAGGTACATACGAGGATTAGGGTACAGCTGAGGATTCAATGGATGTTTTATATTTGCAACAGAAGTCAATGAAAAATTGTTTACTGTTTCTTATTGATGTCTGCAGATAAAGTAGTCAAGGTCATGTATACAGAGGAATTAATACCTATTTTTAGAATACCTTCTGATAGTTAGCACCCGATGTGAAGTCACGCAGCCAGACATTAATTTGCTGAATGCAAATGAAGACACCGTTCTGGGGGGTAGTGGCTTTGGAGGTGGGTGTGGGACCCCACTGGCGCATGGCATTGCTCTCAGGGGGTTAATGGGAATTTCAACACATCCTTGCCCTGTTCTCGTGAATTTGCTTAACCGGCGATTGCCTAACGCTTCTACAATTGAATTCTTAAGCCGTGTACGTGCTTCTGAACATTACTATTTGCTGTGCAATCAAAGATGGAGCAGATAAATTGAGAGGCAATAAAACAATCACGCGAGTACTCTGAGGACAGCGGGAAGTCCACCCAACACACAGCTGGCCCGTAGACGGCTGGCTGCGGTCACACAGTGTCTGTCACAAAGGTCACCTTCGCCGCCACTGCAAACTTTGACTTCTCCAGCCGCCCAAGGGATGAGCTGTTCCCTCGGTGGCTGCTGTCCGCCATCCCCAGGACATCTCCACCTCTGGCCACCTTCCCTGCCAGGCAGCAGCGAGCAGAGCGGCCCCTCTTCTCGCCTCACAGTGTGGGCTCACAGCCCGGGCTCACAGTCCATGTCCCGGCCACGGAGGCGGCTCTGGCCCCTCCCGGAAGCGCTGGGGCAGAAGAGCGGCGGCTCCCCCGTTACCTGTATCACCTATGTCACCTGTGCCGCCAGTTACCTGTACTGCCTGACAGCCAGCGCGCCGGCGGGCTCCCGAGGGAAGCCGCGCAGGTGGCTGCTCAGGTACTGCTCCAAGCTGCCCTGGTCGAAGCGGTGCTGCCGCCGCACCTCACTGGTGCCCGGCTCCGCCGCCATCCCGGGAGGCTCTGCCGCTGCCCACCCCGCCCCGTCCCGTTCGTCGCCGCCCGGAGGCGCCTCGGTCCGCCAGGGAAAGCGCTGCCCGCCCTTGGGGCTGCCGGGGCTGGGTAGCTTCTCCTGGGAGACAGCGATCCCGGGAGACAGGTACCACCTCGGCGAACACCCAGCCCCAGCCGCGGCCGGAGCCCGCCTGCTCCCGCTGCCGGGTGTCGGGAGGCGGCCCCAGCATGGGAACGCCCCGGCGCTTCCCGGAAGCTCCAGCGGCCGGGCAGACGTGTCGCTGCCATGGCGGATCCCGGTCGCCTGGAGCAGCTGGAGCGGCGAGTGCGGGAGCTGGAGGAGGAGCTGGCCCGGGAGCGGGCCGGGCGGCGGCCGGCGCGGGCCCGCATCGACACCATGAGCCCGGAGGTGACGGACTCCAACCCCTACAGGTGCGGTCGGGGCCAGGGGCCGTCCGGGAAGCGGAGGATTCCGTCAGGTTAAAGAGGATGGGCAAGAGGGAGGGCCGTAGGTTGGAACTTCGGGTCTGGGGGAAGGGGAAGAGGCATGTGGAGGGGGCTCGGGCGGGTGCGGATCTAAGGGCTGGGCCTGGGTGTGCCGAGGAGGGTGTCAGCGCAATGCTGAAGGCAGGTGCTCTGGGGGGAGCAGGGGAAGGATGCTCTCGGATTTCCCACCTGCCTGGGCTGACAGGGGTGTATGTCAGAGCTACCTTGTATTATCTTGTTTTACAGTACGAGAGAGAGGAAACCTTGTGAGTTTTTCAGCTAGGTTGCTAATAAATGGACAGGTGTTGGTATAACATGAGGTCTTATTTCTCCTAACTTACCTACTTTAGAGTTTGATTTATAGAATTACTGAGCATCAGGGACCCCTTCTCTTCTGGAAATCTGATGCCTTTTTTTTTCCCTTAATACAAGTCGATATCTGTACTTTCATTGAGACTTTCAATGTAAAAATGCAATAACAGGATAAAATGTTACTTTAAAATCCTTTCATTTATCCTCAAAACCCGAGTGTCAATTTTTTATTTTTTTTAATGTTATGTTGGAGTTAATATAATCAAATTGATCAGAACACAGTGCAAGTCTTCACTAGTTAGCTGCCATATGGTTCATTACCAAAAAAAGTGTCATCTTTCATTCTGTAAATCTGAGATTATTTTACAAAAATAGCTATGTGTCCTCCTGATTTTACTGACATTACTCATACCAGCTGAATAAGAACATGAGTTTCTGCAGGGTTAGTACTCTGTTGCTAACAGGAAAGCATCTGCTCTCTCATTCAGGCTGTACCTAGCTGGCAATCACAACTGCAGTGAAAGCAGCAGGCTTGAGTTTGGTGCTTGGAGGGGTTATTTTTAAAGCAAAAGGGATTTTAAATACCTGAAAAGCAAAATTGCTATTAGAAACATAGAGAGCATTTTCTGTGTAACATTGCTTTTTTTTATTCATAGTCGCTTGATGGCATTAAAAAGAATGGGAATTGTCAAAGACTATGAGGTAGGATTCTATCTGTAATGAAACGTTACTTGCATTTTTCCCTGGGAGGACCACTTTTGATATCCTTGTCTGTATTTTATTTCTTTCTACAGAAAATCCGTACCTTTACAGTTGCAGTAGTAGGTGTAGGTGGAGTTGGCAGTGTGACTGCTGAAATGTTGACAAGGTGTGGCATTGGTAAGGTAATGAGAGTTTTTATTTCTTCTACTCCTTTACAGTAGCTGGACCAGTCCTCTTTATGAAGAGTTTGATTTGATTTCATTCAGTTGATTTTAACCAAATAAAAAAGCTGTTGTGAAGAAAGCACTTGTGTAAACATTGCACATGAAAAGTCTAGTTTCTTACACTAGTAAAATTGATTTACTTCGGGCTAAATCCTGTATCATGTGGATGATCCTTGTTTGGATTCTGGTCATCTCTGTACTCCTATATGAGCCCATCTATCTAACCTTCATACTGGATTACTGCAAAAGGAGAACAAAACAAAGAAAAAGGAGGGGATAGGTTGCATAGAAGATTAAGTCTTATAATAACAAGTTTATATTCATGAATTTGAAATGTGGTGGATGTCAAACAGATATTTTTATCACAAATGTTAGTTTGTCACGTGGCAGACTTAGAGCTAAAAATTTAGCAGCAGTTAAAAATAATTTGATGTGTGTGTAGTGTGTATAGGATTTTCTCTAAAGGAGGAATTTGGGGAATGGCTCAAATGTTTGTATTTCCAGGCAAAGCCTGACCATTTACTCTTAAAACTCTGAAAAGATTTTAAATATAGAAGTGGTGCAATTTTTTATTGCAAAGTTTATTCCTCTGAAGGAGCATTTCCAGAAGACCAGCATCTTAGGCATAGCAAAGAACATCAGTTGATGCAGAATTTATAATAAACAACATGTTCATGTACTATGTAGGTATTTTAAGAGAATTGTTTTTGAAGAACTGCATCCCAAGACAAGTGAAATAAATGACACATTTTTAGTTAATGCCATAATAACAAGTAGGAATGTGATAACAGAGGTGATAGTGCTCATGTAAATTGGTCTGCTGAATAATCTTTGTTTAGATCAAATGAACAGATTGCTTATTATTAAGAGTAGTTTTCATGACTTAACAAATTGGTTCCTCCTGAATGGCAGTTAGAATTCAGTCTTTCATGCACTTACAAAATTGGCACCTTTTATATGTGAATTGAATGGCACTGCAGGGCTAGGGGGCTGTTAGCTTGGGGTGGTTTTTTGTTTGTTTTTTTTTTAGAATTAGTTTTGTTGTTTAAAATGCCTTGCCATAGGACTCTAGTTGCTGTGGTTTTGGAGATTCACACATGTTAATACAATCTTTATTGTAGCTGCTTCTGTTTGACTATGACAAAGTGGAACTGGCAAACATGAACAGACTCTTCTTCCAACCTCATCAAGCTGGATTAAGTAAAGTGCAAGCAGCAGAGCATACTTTGAGGTATAGCTTAGAGAAGTGGGTATTAAAATGTATTTGCCTAGGATGCTGCTCCAGAAAACCAATGTTTCGCTCTTAATTACTTGCAAAGGAGCATGATCTAATTGGGGAATTTGAGTATAAAATATTTGTGGGAATGATTGATACTTTAAAGACATATTGGCCAAAACCTTAATGTGAGTCTACTTTTTAAGTAAAGCTAGTTTTGCTCAGAAGTTCGGTATAAACAATGCCAATTCAATATATTGTGGGTTTTTTTCTCATCTAATCTGTGAATTTTGGAGAAATATGGGTGTATTCTTGAGTTCAGGCTGGAAATTTAAGACTATAGTAACACTTGCGAAGTTAGGGAGTAGAATGCAAATTATCATTGCATTCGTGACTATTGACTCATATTATTTCCTCCATAAGGGATATTAATCCTGATGTTCAGTTTGAAGTACATAACTACAACATCACAACACTGGACAACTTTGAACACTTCATGGACAGAATAAGGTAAAATCTCTCAAGAAAAGCATGTCGCCAACTTCTGCTGATGTGTGGTTCTATACAGCCTCATGTTTTTATTGTTGAGGGATTTTTTTCAATTCAATAACTTAAACCACTGGGAAATATTTGTATATGAAGACATTCCTGCCTAGATGTTTTCTCTAGAGTTGGCATTTATTTCTGCTGGTACACAGTTATGTTTTATATTGGTGCATCTTTATATTTCCAGCCAAAGCTGTAGGATTTAAAGGCTTTTCTCATTATAGAAAACAGATCAGATCATATTTTGACTGCTCTGAAGTGGTTTCAGTTATGCTTTATAGAACGAAGAAAGAAAATAGTTATTAGTGGATTTCAAGAGGAGATCTGAAATAACTTTTCCCATTTGCAGTTCTGTTGTACCAAGGTACAATTCTCCAATACTTTGTACTGTGAGTGTTTTCTGCATAAAACTTCTTTGAGTCTAAAATGCCCATATATTAAATCCCAGCTTCAGCTGCTGTTTCTTCTGTAGATCAGAGATGCTGGTTGTACACTATTCTGCATTTGCACAAGTTTTGTTAGAAATTCACTTCCTGTGGGCTTCTGTACTGTAAAAGCGGGCATGTTGCTTGCCATGTTGGTATTTTGTTCTGCCAGCAATTTCATGCAGACTTCTGATGCTTATTTCAGTAATGGTGCACTGGAGGAAGGGAAACCTGTCGACCTTGTTCTAAGCTGTGTAGACAACTTTGAAGCTCGCATGGCGATTAACACGGTAAGGCCATCGAAGGCGTGAGCTTGTGGAAGTCTATTTTCTCCTATAACCAATGTTAGGAACTGTGGGGACTGTAGAAAAGACAGGAATTTAAAAAGAATCTCCTAAGAAATGTTTCCTTGGTTTAAGGAAACTGAATCTGAGCTTTTACCCAGTTCTTATAAAACCCAAATGTAACTGTAGACTTTTAAGTAACTAGCAGCTAATGGTTAGTAAAAGAGTTAAGTGCCATAAACTCTCTCTATCTTTCCAGATTATCTTGTTTATGTAAAGGTATTTTTAAAGGCTGGTATGTTAAATCTTACAGACTTTTTAAAGACTGTCTATAGCTAATTGTATACTACATATGACTTTCTGTATACTAAAAATGACTTAATGCTGTGTACCTAATCAAATTGTTTTTCTTTATAGTAGCAGCCAACGTAGGGTACATGCCAAATGTATG